ATTCCATAATACGATAGTGTAAATCACGCATTTTCTCAGTTCAGTTCTCCTCTGCCTCAAAAGTTACGTGGAAGAGATAGCTCTCAGCGATATGATTGCCTTTGTCCACATTAATTCTAAGTTGTCTATGTACTGTTGTTTTTTCTTTGTGTGTGAGAAATAAAGTGTATTAACTATCTATCTATCTAAACATTATAGATAATTCCATTCAGCTGCAAACAAGAATACTTACTACAGCGACGGAATTACCCAAGGGAACTTAACTTAGTATACCTAGGATGGAATCAATACGAAAAAAATCGTTTTCGAAATTGAACTGGCCTTATCTAGTGTTCAGATTCCCTCTGGGTTACCAAGGCCAGAAAAGGGTAAAATAGCGACCGAAATGACAAATTAAGTTGGCCGACCCTCTAACCGACCATTTGGTTCTGAGAGTCTACGCATTCTGCAGAACAGTCAATATATGTGACAAATATTATGTAAAACAGCACAAAAATAATCATGGAAATTATAAAAAGAAGCGCACTGTTAGGAATATTTGTACACCAATAAAACAGCAACCACTCGAACAACCACTGCTGGACAGCAATGTAGGTTATGTCCACGTGTTTATGAGATGAAATATAAACTAACACATTTCCTTCTGGCTCTTGATCATGATCAAACTGAATTACTTCTTCGTTAAAAATAAATACTTATAATACGTAATAGTACATAGCTCCACTCACACATCAGCGTATCAAATAGCGCAAGCACGCACGCGCGTACTCACACACACTCTCTCACACACGCACGCACGCACGTATGCACGCACGCACGCACGCACGCATGCACGCACGCACGTATTTTACACACATACACATATTTTAGTACATATTATATTAATAGCAAATACATAAATTAAGTGTAACTAATTATGAGAGAAGACACTGATTTCCGTAACACAGGTCATTGAAAGCCAGCTGGGAAGCCACGGCCTTAAAATGAAATGTAATGTTTTTGTTCAAATAAAGAATTATGACTCGCTGTCACTTTATTATTGTTTGAAAAGTAATACATAATGTTTTTGTTTATGATAGTTGGGAAATGTTTTAATGATTAAACAATTTTTGAAAAGAACTAAAAATTTATAAAGATCATAAATTCAAAAAAGGAACTGGTCTTATGTAGTCTGGCGTGCTTGCTTGACAATATTTACCGGTTTATTAATCTCACTTGTGTCCTGTTTTGTCAAAGCAGGACATTGTTAAGTTTTGTGAGGACAACGGGACACGAAACTTAAAAAGCGAGACTGTCCCGCTCAAGGACGTATGGTCACGTTATGCATACTTCATGTACTATCTTTAAAGGCTTCTTTAAGACCTAATGATCTGACAATAGTTGATTGACAGCAGCCTTATTTATTGTGAAATGTGACAAATGTGTAATATCGTACTTTTGGTATGCCACATGTGATCATGTCTTTAAAATCTTTTATCATATGGAAGTCATAAAAATAAACGAAACACATGAAACAAATTATATTTTACCTCACTAGCTCGGAAATGCTTTCTTTCTCATTAGAAATCTTTGACTCAGATCTTTACGATTTGAAGCTCTGTGTGGCATAGTAACTGTTATGGACAGGCGTGTAGCTTACCGTCAGGCGCACGACTTGTTCGTCTCGTCACTTGATATTATAAAAAAAAAACCAAAACTATTGTTCTGACACGTTAGCCATTTATAACGGTAAACAAAAACTATACAGAATTTATTTACTTAATATATATAAGCAAAATTCTAAGAGGTTTCTTTTGTGCCGAGACTTTTAATTTCGGGACTGGGTTAATTGTGAATGGACTGTGACCCTTCTCCTTTTTAGATGACAGATACGCGGTTTGCCGAAAACACCTATATCGATTTTCAGCGCCAATGTCGTCACGTCAACAGCACGACACATAGACTAACTGTGTTTTCCTTGTATATAAAATGAAGTTCTGAACTTGCTTTAAAATATTGTACTATTTTGTAAACTGTACTCGAAGAGTTTGCTTATTTTTGCCCATAAACGCGTAAGAAATTCAACGTTATCGAACAACAAATTCCATTCTCTTCGATCCTCACTATCCAGAATACTTGAAATAAATTTCAGTATCCCTGTGACTCTCATGACCGCGCCCTTCGATCCATTAACTTTCTTTCACTATCTATACCTCTCTCTCATTCCGGCTTCATGTCTGATTCCTTCACTCTCCATTCAACAAGTCTCCGGATTGTTCTCCCGGACTCCATCAGAAGGTCTCCTAGCGTGTTCTCTTTCAAAAAGAACGTCCATGAGCATTTTTTAAATAGTTTGTATTATATATGTATATATATATTAGGTTTGTTTGTTAAATATATGATTATATATGTAATACATTTATGTTATTAATACATTATTAATTTAATATTTTGTTTAATTTGTCTCATCCTAATTATTATTCATAAGACGTCTACGTCTAGACTAGGTAGCATTGAATTTGGCAAATTATATATCAGAACGTACGCACTACGTATTGAAAATTATTATTATTATAGATATTAGGGCGTAACATGTGTCATGACCTTGCTCGAAGCATCATTCAGTGAAACAGCAACAATCGACACGCATTTTTCTATAAATAAATAAATAACATATTTCTTCCGACCTTTTGGGTGGCATAACAGCATGGTAACCATTTGGTCACCGAGGCAGTTTATTAATAGCTGTAATTACTATAATATTTCCCTTTCCATTAAAATTAATAATTCATTAAAAAGTTGTGAATGTTCCATCAATTAAAACGATCTGAAAGCTAAACTGGTGCCACCGGTCCGTGAAATCAAGCACCACGTTTAATTTGACTTAATCTTTGTTTTGACTAACAAAGCTACAAGTCGAGTTTACCAAGTCGACGAATTTCTTGTATTTGTCTGTTATAG